CTCACCGCAACCTCCGCCTCCTGGGTTCAGGCAATTCTCCTGCCTCAGCCTCCTGAGTAGCTGGGATTACAGGCACGCGCCACCATGCCCAGCTAATTTTTTGTAGTTGTAGTAGAGACGGGGTTTCACCGTGTTGACCAGGATGGTCTTGATCTCTTGACCTTGTGATCCACCCGCCTCAGCCTCCCAAAGTGCTGGGATTACAGGCTTGAACCACCGCGCCCGGCACATTGTATAAAACTTTTAACAAAAAGACAAAAAAAGAAATTTAATGATACGAGTAAATACAAAATAGTGGTTACCTTTAGGGGATTATCAACTGGTGACATTGGGAGACAGTATAAGGAAACCTTCTGAGGTGGTAGAAATGGCCTATATGTTGACCTGGGTGGTAGTTTTGTGGGTATATGCATATTAAAAAAAATTCATCAAGTTGCACACTTTAAGATTTATGCACTTTACTACACGTAAGTTATAACTAAAACAACAACAACAACAACAAACTGAAAACCCCAGACTATGTGGTGTCCACAAACTGGGGGGCAGTTAAGGGAGGCAGAAAAGGAATATTATGAACAGATGGGGATCAGCCAGCCTGTTTTTGGTGGAGCTGCTTTGTGTTTAAGCTACTCAATATGGTGAGCCTTAGAGTGTCAGGATTGCCTTGGGCGTCTACCTGCTAAGGCAGAGGAAGGCAGACCCTTGTATATGTTATGTCAGAGTTGGTATTTGGGTTCGTTGGAAATAGAGGTATTGGTTCCCTGTTAAAAGTCTGAGCATATCCCATCACAAATTTTAAAATGTAGATTTGAAGTCAGAGAGGACTCTTGAACTGGAACATGCTTTTTCTGTCAGAGACAGTGCTACTGGAGACTTAATGTTACTCTAGTTGGTGGTGAAGGGGCAGGGCTGAGGCAGAGGTGGTTGAGAATAGACAGTGGTAGGGATGGAAACTGCAGAGGTAGCAGGCATGTTCAGTGACTGCTCTCACACCTAGCAGGGCGAGATTAGAACTAGGCAGAACAGTTATGCAGCAATCCAAGAGGGTGGTGACTAGGACCCAGATGAGCTCTGGCAGGAGAATGGAGAGATAAGCAGGGATGGGGAGAGGCAGTAAGTGTGTGGAGGGGGTAAAGGATAACAAGATTTTTTTTTAATGCATACTATTCAAGGTGCCTTCCTGTAGGAACCCCAGGTTAAAAATCCAGTAGGCAGGAGTTTGGCCCTTATGAGAAAGGCAAATGCAAAATCAGAGTGGGAAGTGGAATGATTGAGGCCAGAACCCTAGGAAATACCTACTTTAAAAAATTATGAAATATGTTTTTAAAAACCATTCTATTTAACTATTTTCTTGTTTATCCAGAGAATACTCATCAATGGCACTTGCAGCTACAGTGTTTACCTCGAGATAACTTTGCCACAAAATATCTCGCTTTTTAGAAATTATTTTCTCATTGCTCTAGTATATTGACTTTGGAAACAAAAGACATCATTCTGTTTATAGCATTCTGTTTTTAGTGGTATTTCCATTTACAAAACATAGTAATTGTCTATCGTGGAAAATTTCAAATCCTAGAAAACATAGCATTCCTACATGTGATGTTAACATCGTTCTCGAACAGTTGTTGGCCTATGATTCAGTTGATGAATATGATTTTTCCGAAATACACGATTGTGATGATTAAGACAATTCTGATGTTAGTTCTGTTTAGAAATAACTCTAAGAATAGTGTTATATTTTATTTTCACCTGGAAAAATAGTCAGATTTGCTTCAGCCTCAAAGAGGGTATTTATGTAAAATTAAATGGATGCTGCCAGCTAGCTACACCTTTTTTTTTTTCTAAACAGAAAAAGGGTTAAAACATCAGTGAGTGCCTGTAGTCTCAGTAAGTCGGGAGGTTGAAGGGGCAGGATAGCTTAAGATTAGGAATTTGAGGCTATAGTGTGCCATGATCACACCTGTGAATAACACCAGCCACTGTACTGCAGTCTAAGCAACATAGCAAGACCCCATCTCTTAAAAAAAAATTATAAAATACTAATAGGCAAAAACAAAACACAATCCCACCCAAGCAAGTAACTGTTAACATCTTATGGTATACATAAATAGCTTTCCAAATCTTCAAACTTTCCCCTCTCTTTTTCTGTCTCTCTCTACTTCCCTCTCTCTTTTCCTCTCCCCCCAC